CAATATGTATAATTTTATTTTTATTGTATACAATGTGTATCCCAAGATGTTATGCCAGTAATTATTAGAAAGTAGTCCTACTGCTGACTTAATTTAATTACAAAATATTTTTGGCATACTGGTATTGTCATAGAAATCTCCTTTTAACACCTCTACCTTCTTTCTTCTTTTTGTTGAAAACGAGGATTCAAACCTGGGACATAAAGATCCACTCTTTACTCTGTGATATTAGAGATTATGCTGTAACTACTGCATCACATGAAGAACTAATTTCTCACCAAATTTCTGAACAATTCTATTTGAAAGCTTATAAAGGAAAGAAATCCTATACACAGGAAATCAGTTCCCTGGGAACACTATTGTTACTTATAAAACAAAGGCATTTACAATCAAAGTCTTGCAGATAAATCTATTTCTCATATAAAATGGAGACGTAATTGTAAAATCTTTGTCAATTAAAAAAAAATGATACAACACATCACTGTCACCTCTTAAGTCCCCAAATCCTAAATACTTACATCCTTTTAAAAAAGATTACCAACTTAATGACCCCGCTGGAGTATGAACCCAGTATAATGAAGCTGAGGTACCATTACATTGATCAAAACCACCAGTAAAGTACTCACTTGATGATTATATCAATACAGAGTTGGAATTATTGGATCAGCTTCCAGTAATAAATGTTACTAAACCTCCAGGTTCTGACAGTATAATTGTCTCTTTTTTGTTCCTTAAAGATTCACTAATTCAATAGTAAAACCCTTTACTTAAATATTAATTTAATCACTTACATCTGGTCAATGTCAAAATTTTTAAACAATTTTCTTTTCTTTAAGGAAAAGGGAATTGAATTCACATACCTGGTAATGTTGATAACTTGGCTGTTTGTAAAATTTTGGAGCAATTTTTTTTATGTATGCTCTTTGTATGAATTTATAAAACGAGGTAAGTTATTGACAAACAGGATGCTGAAAAAAAAGCATATCTTGTTTAAAGTCATCTTTTCGTAGGTTGTATGGTCGATACTATGAACTTGACAATGAAAAACCAATTTATCATTAAGTCAAATGCTGACTAACGTTTTTCACACTAATTTTAGGCCATTATATACACACTGAATTGTCGACGGATTTTTCTTTTATTTCCTGATCATGACAAGGAGTACATGACGGGCGATGCTCACTTCTCTATGGTACCTGATCTCACCTCTGATGTTTTGGAGGTCCCTGTTTGCTCTGCTCCAATTTTGTATTGTTTAATGGACTTTTGAGCTTGAATACTGTTTGTTATCTCATATAATTCATGCAAGCGCAGATATGATTGTTTTTGAAAAATATTAATTTCGATTTCAACCCACTAGTACTGTTTCAACGATTAGGGGTGGTTTGATTAATTTAATGATATATTTTAGTGCTGTTATGTTCATGGATACTCAGATATCATTTGGGATAATTGATAAATTGGGATAAAAGTTCTGCAGATATAAATAAAATGTTTGGAATGATTCTGGACAACGTACCACAGCACAAGGCTTGTTCAGTCAGTGTGGTCTCCTGAGAAAGGGATGGGACATACTGAAAATTTCACACTTTTACATTTATGTGTCCTTGCTTGTCACATGTAAATTTGTAATTCAGTATTGTTAAACAAAATTAAATGTTAAGTCTAAGAGTTATATTAAATAAGAATCAATTTTTTCAAGATATACATTTTTATAATGATAATTATGGAGATAACCAACAGCATTCAAGCTCAAAAGTCCAATAAAATAGTAAAATAGGAGCAGAGCAAACATGGAATTCCGAAACATCAGAGATGGGATCAGGTGCCATGGAGGATTGAGGATTTCCTGCCGACCGGTCACACCTGCAGTGCTTCTTGTCATGATCAGGAAATAATGGAAAAATCCATCGTCAATTCAAATTGTGTAAATACCGAACTAACAATTATTATGAAAAAACGTCAGTCAGCTTTGCCTCAATGATAAATTGTATTTGCTGCTAAGTTCATTGTACCGACCATAGAACTTACAAAATGATTACTTTAAACTAGACTGCTGATATTCTTGTTACTTCAACTTGTTTGTCGATAATTTGCCCAGTTTTAGAAATTGTTCATACGTAGAGCATGCTCTTGTGTATCGAGTCAACTCAGATGTATAAACTCCGTATGCAGGTGATTGCTGCATAAGTATTAGGGAAGTTGACAATTGAAAAAAATGCTCGTCATCACGTTTATCATAAAACTTGGTAGTTAAATAACCACATTTTTTAAAGGTGGAATATCCCTCTGATAAGAGAGATAACTCTTCTGATATGAGAGATAACTCTGTTTAGTCATTTATTCATGAAATTCAGTGAATTGTCATGCCAGAGTTTCCAAATTTTATATTCAATGACCATTTTATAGTCAACTTAATCAAACCTGTTTTGTCGTACAGATGTTAATTTCTAGTTTCTATTGCTAGTATATTTATTAATTATTTATGATAGTTTACCTAAAACATTTGTACTCAGTTCCTTTAAACGGTGTAAATTTCTATCTCTTAACGTATAAGTCTTTTAATTGTACAGAAATTTCAGATGCAGAATTGTTTATAAACATTTAATTAATATTTTATTTCATTAAAAAATATTTTCAAGGGCGATAATGAAACGATAACTCTTGTTTATGGATGCGTGTTATTTTACATGCACCTAAAACAATTTGATATTCTGATTTAAAAAGCAACGCTTCAGTATGTTTTCTAACGGGAATTAGATAGGTATGGGAGTAAATATTTTTTTATATATACCTCATATTTCTAATTTAATTGTGAGATAAAAAATAATTGATCTTTCTATTTACCATATCAAATTTTCTTCACATCATGATTTGACATATTATTCATTTCTGAAAAAGTAAGCAACGCTTCATACTTAAAACTATTTTCCATTTAAATTTAATTCTATAGTTGTTGCTGAAAATCAAATCTTTGGAATGTTAAAAAAAGGTCGTGAAATTTGGAGCAGAGGGATAGTGCCCCTTAAGTAAAATATCCAAATATGAAGCAGGTGTGACAGAGTCTGTGGTATCTTTTATCTCAAGCTCAGTGGGACATATCGTATCGACATAAAAATGGAAATTACAAATCTTTTTTTAACAGCAATGATATAAATATACATATAATTTATATGTCATTATTTCTTTTATAGCGTCTTCTTTGAAGCTAGCGCACTCTTTATCTATAGCTATTTGGCAGAAGAATAAAACATCTTGTCTACAACTCTCTTAATTGCTATTGATAACAGCAATTACTCTTGATAGCCTTTTGTTTTCAAAAGTTGTCTGGGCAGATACTGTTTTAATTATTGTTTGCTATACTAATTGCAGAATGTCCTGTCAAAAATATGAAAAAAGTTGCAGTTAATTTTAACGATCTAATAGAAAAAATCAATATAATGATTATTTTGATGTTTTCTTAGACCGTCTCTTAGTTCAACATTCACAAAAAGTCTCATAAACAAATTACTGATGTAATTTAACTGTCAGTATGAATTGTTAACACCTCTTAATCATAAAATACTTCTAGTAATTTTGTAGTTCTGAATAAAAACACAGCAAGGACACTATTTGTCCAATTTGAACAATTGAAGTTTAGATTTAAAATTTTCTTTTCTCAACATTCAATAATTTTGACGAAACCTTAGAGAGGTTAGAGCATGTGTCCTAGAGTCATGGAGTACAAATTTGATCCTTACGTCACGGTTAGAATTCCTCTGCGGGACGTAGAAGCCGGTCCTTCGAAATACACAATTTCAACTGATGTTTTTGGTGTCAATAAGTGCTGGGGCGAAAAAAAATCCCTCAGCGGCTTTTATTGCTGAATATAGGTATAAATTTACAGCCCTCCGCCGGCAGATGATGGTACCTGTATTTCAATTTGTGTAAAAAATCTATGAGAAGGACGTCGAACAAAAGGTTTTTTTAAGGAAATTAAGACAAGATGTTTGTGAAACACAGACGCCCCCGTATGGCAGCTTATTGCGAAGGTTAAAATTTCCAAATGCAAGTCAAACTTCAGTGTCAAAACTGTTTGTTTGTAAAGGAAATTCTTGTCACAAGAAATATATTTGTGAATTTTGAAAGCCCTAGATAAGTACTAACTGTTCAAAAGTAATGACCAAGGTTCAAGTTCTTAAAAGTCACTAAGTTAAACTCTTAGGTCAACGTCAAAAGGTTAAAAATTTGACCCACAGGAAAAGGACAAGATAAATACACATGAGAAATTTGAAAGCCGTGGTAAAAGTAATGACCAAGGTTAAAGTTCTTTAAAAGTTATGGCAAGGGTTAAAATCAAGGGAATGTATGCAAAATTGGGTCAAATTCCAAGGTCAAAAACTCAAATTTGTTGGTACCAAAAGGAAGGTCTTCACTTTTGTCACAAGGAATACACATGTGAAATATGAAAGCCATAGGTTCAACCAATCAAAGGTTATGAGCAAGGTTAAAGTTTTCGCGGAAAACAGACGGAAGGACAGGGCCAACACTGTTTACACCCGAATCTTCGATCACGGGGACATAAAAATAATCTGTGAAAGTATTTCATTCATTTAACACAACCTTCTCTCAATATTATTCAGTATTATATTTCATCAGCTTAACCCTTTACCTCGATATACCTGTCTTACTTGGATCACTTTCATCCTGCACAGATTTTTGTGTGTCACCGAGAAACAGACACACAACGAAAAAAAAATTCACCTCAATTTAAAAAAAAGTAAACTTGTCCAAGATGCAAGATGTGGTTTTAAATTTAGCTAAGTGGCTTTGGTGGAAAAGTAAAAAAGAATTACTTTTTTAAAATGTTTTACAAGGAAAACATGTAGGTTCTTTTTTACCTTTCCAGAGAGAAAAGTTGTATTTTGTTCTCATATTTGTTTGGTTGCAACTTTTTCAACTACTAGTATTCAATTCAACTTGTAGGTTTATAATCATATATTCTGAATTCTTATTTCCAGAGCATGGTCAACAACTGGGAAATATTCAGCTTAGCTGTTAAACACCTGCTGGACAAAAAAGCGGTAAGTTTTTATGACATGAAAAAGCGGCTAGTTTTAATTGTAATTACTTTGAAGAAAATACTGATGTTGGATTTTTAAAGAAAACAAAGGACAAAATACGTGTTATCTTGAGATTGTTTGAGTTGTAATAAAACTGTGTCATAAAAAAGGGAATCGACAAAAATGTCATAAAATTTCTTTAATGACCTGATAGAAATGCATTCGTAAAATAACTATTAAGTGACGTTGATATTTCATCTCAAGAGGATTTTTCGTAAAAAAAAAAGATTTTAAAAATTGCCTAGTGCATTATAGACTCCGTTCATAGCTTTAGAATTTATTTCCTTAAATGCTTAATTATTATGAAAGAAAGACTTGGATTCTTTTCTAAGTTTCCAGGTCCTAGAGAGGGCAAACTAGACAATCATTGTCTGGAACGGAAGGACAAACGTACCCTTAATAAGATACTAGTATTTATTAATAAGAATGAACAGATGGGAATTATTCTATTTCAAATATTTTTGAGTAACGCGACAGTTATGCACGCGACAATGTACAATTACAGAACATCATTAATGGCTTAGCAATGAGTAGTACCTGAAGGAAAGAAAAACTTTAATAAATTGATGAAAAACAGCCCTGACATGCGATAGAAATAAAAAGAAACCGTTCACGCGAGGGCAAGGACCTTTTATGGTAGTACACCAACGATGAACATTTTTATGTGTAAATGTCTGTTGCTGTAATTTCCGCCACAGTATGTAGTCTGTATGGGGCTTTTGTCCAACAAAACTGTTGTAGATATTGACATTTGAAAACTGAAATAGCACCGCAGCTGTAAAGGTCGGGTGCTATTTTTTCTTAGAAAAGTCGCTGACATGTTAACAAGGAGGGGACCTTTGTTAAAGCTCAGACCAACGGCTGCAAGCGATTTGTCCATCTCCCGAGTGATATTTGACTTGTTTAGGAGTCCACATACTCCAAAAATGCTGAAAAAAGGAATAAAATTGATATCCTCTTGAAATCCATAGAGGATAGTCCGAGATAACAATTCGTTGTAATAAACGGTTATCTGAAGCAAACTTAAAGAGTGATGAATTTCGAATTTTACGTGTATTCATTTCGCGGATGAAGAGAACTGACATAAAAGGCTCAAAGAATTACTAGAAAAGCACAAAAAAGATGGGAACGACTGTGTCCATATGTCCATATGTAGTTATATTCTGATGCGAGCTTTGGGAAATTTTGTTTTAAAAACATCGCATAATTTTTTATCTACAACGATGTACTGTAGACTGGCAAATATTCATGATTGTTTTAATTTCGTTATGTTCGCGATTTATCATTTTCCCGCGAAATTAAACCTATCGTGAATGTTATTATTAGTTTTTAAAAACGTTCATATGCTTGTACGAATTTTGAATTACTGTAAACGTATTACATTTGGCTGTGTATTCTTTTTAGCGCCTTTCGCGGAAAGCAGCCTCCGCTAAATCAAGTACCTCCCTAAATGCTTTGTGTATAAAGGTTTATGTTACGCACATTCAAAAAGCGCTAAATCAAATCTACGCCATTTTGTTGAAAATTCAATTTCCGCCAAATATCGTACACGCCAAATATAATACATTTACAGTAATTTCTTGCAGGGTGAAATTTAACCGTTCGCAATTGGTACTTTTTGAGATATCGTGAACTTTTAACACCGCGGAATTAAAACGACTTACACATAATAATCTATTGTGTACTTTAGACGTCGTGCATAGTATTGGGGTTTGAAATTGCGTAACTTGTAACTCTGTAAACCACGGGCGTTAGTATTTTTGGTCATTTTATCGTTTTGGCTACAGTGATTTTTCTGCCAATTTGTACGATGCTTCTATAATGTCTGGTGATGATGTCACACAATATCCATTTTTAATTTTCCAGTTTACTGGCCGATTTCGACTGTTCGTAAAATTGAGAGGGTTCCGTAATATGTCGTGTTCTTGTCAAGTAACAAGAAAAGATAGAATGTTTGGAAAAGATTTTTAAATATATAGCAGGTTCTTTTCGTAAAACTAAGTTGATAAATGAAATGTGCAAATCAAGAAGTAGTCAAATGTTTCTTTTAAAAAAATTAAGCAAGTAGTAGGACAGATTATTAGAGTGATTTTGATGTCTAGTCGGTTTTGTTACTACGACACAAATATGCGTATGATGGTATTTAACCGGGCGTATAGTACCAATATTAGCTGTATTCCCTATTTACTGGGAAAACTTGTAGCAAATAAAATCTTATTTTTAAAATGTGCAAATAAATAAAATTGTGTATTTAAAGAAACTCTAAAAAGTAAGACATTTTTAAGAAAACGGGAGCAAAAATTGGATGTCTAGTCTAATTTGTTACGCCTTTAATTTTTGACGTTTTTACGCTTAAACGACGTATATAATAACGTCAGAAAAGTATATTTTGACGTTACAAAATCAGCCTCAATTCTGTGCACGACCGTCTTAAATAGGAAATTTTTGCTTTACAAATCATTGCGCCATTTTTTATCTACATTGCATTTGTTTCATCTGACTGTTAGTAACCCTTTCCTCCGCTTAAATTAGTATGTAGAATTAAATACCGGTACATCCAATTTAGAAAGAATGGGAGCATTCAAGCGAAACCCCTGCTCTTCACCTTCCCTTGAATTGCAAAGAGGCTCTAGTTCAGGCTCTTGTTCTTTTTTTCACAAGCCATAAAAACAACTGAAAAATAAATAATTCATTAATATTATTCAATGTATATTATCAAGTAAAATTAAGGAATAGATTATTTGAAATTGAAACAGAACTTTCTTAACTCATATAGATATGTGAAAATGTCTTGTCCCGGAGCGGGGAATTTCCCATCCCTTTTACGCCTTTATAGAAAAAGTTTAAAATATCTAAATGTTATAAACAGTTTTGATATAAATAACTGTACCATTTACTCTGACATCGTGTTTTAAAATAATAAAGACTTGCGATATGAATCTAAAACATTTTATATGGTTTGTTTAGATGATGTACAAATACCGTTATTATGATGTGAATAGAAACAATCTACGGAACTTTAATAACGAACAGTTATAAGATAACATTTATTTGAAAATAATTATTTATCTGCAAGTAAAGATGTATCTTATCCATTGCAAAGTCATTTTGACCACTACATCTGAACTTTTATTCATTGACTCGGAGTACATAAATGCGCGATTTGATGTTTCGATCGAGAATTTACTCCAACGGAGCCGGTGGAAAGTTGCATCATATTGCTGAGAGAGACCTCGAACTCATAAATTCAGGTAAGTTTATCTTTCTTTTTTTTACATTGATTGAATTCTATATAACATATTGAATAAAAAGTCATATATTGTGTGTTATTATTATTTTTATTACATGCATATCTGATTTCTGTTTTATGTTCTTTTTTTTTAAAAACTAACTGGGGGGATATTATGAGCGCAAAAATTAAGTTAAAACACAGTAAGTGTATCTGGATAACGTACAAAATATACATTCTCTCTGTCTGATTTGAATTCATAATTATTATATTTAGATCAATTTCTTTTCCTTTCATTATATTTAGATAGGAAAAGAAATGGTTCAAATATTTTTAAAAATTATTTTCAATCTGGCACCTGGCTGATAATGAGGAAAATCTTAAACCAATAAAATGAGACTTATTGAACAGTTAGCTACAGAATCTTCAAATAAATATTAATCTCACACATTCTGAAATTACCCTTCACCGTATGATGTTTATTAAGATCTTGTTGGGTATTATTAGGCTTCTGTGTTACATATCTTGCGCAAAGTGAAATAGCTGTATCATTGCTAAGATTCAAATTACAAAAGAAATAGCTATATCATTGCTTAGATTCCAATTATACCTGAAATAGCTATAACATTGCTAAGATTCTAATTACAAAAGAAATACCTATATCATTGCTTATGATAAAATATTTTGTTTTATAATACATGTTCTTATAGCTCAGTGAGTTTTTTTTTTTGGGGGGGGGGTGTAAAATATATTTTAAAATGGTCTGAGAACGGATATATGAATGACAATGCATGGGTCGTTGGTAGATTATCATTTATATTATTATATAACTGAATTTTGATTGATAAAGATTACGAAGTCAAAGGTGCTTAATGGATTAGTCAAAGGTCCTCTATGGATTATCGTATATAATAGTGGGTCACAGTGTACAATAATTTAGAGACATAATTGTTACAGGGAAAGACAGTGGTAGACCTAACACTATTACAATCCACATAAATAACAATAAATGGTCGTAGATCGTGCTTACAATGACACTCTCTCAGACTCTGGAAGGAGATTGTGATACAGAATTACAGAGATACGCGATGTGCTATTAAGTGTGATGCTAAACTCCATCTACTACGAGCTGTTTTATGGTTAAGTCGCGCACTTCTGTATTTTATGAACTTTTGCTTATATTTTTAGAGCAGAGAGTAAGAGCGCGGAGAGATTTTATTTCAGCCTGTAATGAGATTTATAAAAAGAAAACCTATAAATATTATAAAGTGCTTGAGAGTACTTTTTTGGTATTTCCTTATAAATGGGTTTCTGACCTCTTCTCTGATCGATTCTTTGATACAGAAATTGGTTTCATTGATGAAGTACCTGAGAATATGAACGGACATTGAATATTGTGAAAAAAAATTTATAGGCACAAAATCTGAACATGGCAATTTAGAAAATAAAACTGTATTTAGAGAATAATTTCCGTTGAATATCTGAGCATGGCTGGACATCTTTTGGTATGACAATGAACAAAAGCTGATGAAAATTCTGAAGATGTCAGATACTTGTTATTGTATTTCATTGCTCCATTGCATTTTTGCAGTTCAGTTATTAAATGTTTATGAGGAGTTGAACGTATATAGTTTTATTTTTTGACGATCACTGGATGTATTCCTTGCCTGTGTTTTTTTTTTTATTTAAATGAAATACCCTTTTAAACAAGATTTCAAATTTTATTGCCATTCTTTCCATATAACTTTGAAAATTTTACTCAAGGTTTTGATGGTGAAATTGATCACATTAATACTTAGGTCTCTCCTCTTTGAGCTTTGATTTTGAAAGGGTTTTCTGACATATTTCATATCAATTGTTAGGTTTTTGTTTTTATATTTTAAACGTTTTCTTTATCTGATCAATACATAGAACTCATGGCGGATGTGTCCTGTCAACAGGGTATGCTTTCTCCCTCTAGGAAACTGATATGAAATACCATTTTTACAATATTCAATATTTAACAAAATGTGAAAAACTTTTTGTTGATAATTCATGAATCATATCAGGAAAATGCGATGCTTAATTTACTCGTAGTTCATAATCATCTGAATATTCATTTCTCATCCTCTCGCAACGGATTGGATATATATAGTAACACGCTTGTGTGTCGTTGTGTGTGTTGATCCTTACTTCGCGGGTTCAAATCTCACTGTCGGACTAGGAGACTGGTCCTTCGGATGAGACTGTATAAACTGAGACCCCGTGTCGCAGTAGGCGCTGGCACGACGTCGAAAAAGATCCATTACTGCTCAATTTCAATTCATGTAATTACATGTACATATATTTTATTTGTTATCCATTGTGGTAATGAGAGATACTTGATATAATATGCACTTGTTTGTTGATTGTGCATTCCATATCACACGCAGTAAAAAAATGCCAAGTTTCTTTTTATATACATTAGAATATGTACGAATATTTTTTAATAGCAATAAGAAACATGTGCGTATGCACGGAATCTCGTAAAATACTCTTCCGAGAACTTAAACACTAACGCAGCCTACATCGTTTCTATTAACAACATTTATATTACACAGGAATAATATTGATATCAGGTGAATTCTGTTGTTTCTTTTAGATAATGCCCCTGTTTTATTTCCCGATTCATATGAGATATTTCAAAAGTGCTGGTGAATACATTGTAGAAAAGTTCAATTTATTTATAACTTTAGGTTAAGTATGTGCATGCAGTTGACCGAAATTAGGTCACAGTAACCCTTTTCTGACTATGAGAAGGATGAAGATAACCAGCGGTGATCGACCTGTCATAATTTATAAGTATCGATTATTATGAGCCAATCAATAAATCCTCTTTTTATTAAATGAAATAAATAATCTATATATTGAAAGGAATGGATTTCTGTATCATGGTTTTATGCTACTCGCGTAACTGATATTCAATAACTTTTGTTTATATATTGTTCAGTCTTATTTTTAAAACACAGAATATTTTACCCCCCAGTAAGTCAAACATCCAACTTGAGTTACTCCGACGAAAGTTTGTTTTTTTTTTAATTTCTGTGTATATCTTCTTCAAAAATCATTCCCTTTTTTAAACTAAAGTTGTTGCAAATTATCCACTTTAGTGTTCTTTTATGCATAACTTTTTTTCAGTGAAAAAGATATTAAATATTTCATGTTGTGCTTGAATGCATTACATTTAAAAAACCTACAAAATTTATTTTTATTTTATTTTAAATTCCTATCAATGACAAAGATAACGATTTCATAACAGCACCAGTAAAATTAGAATTCAAATGTGCTGTTTTAATTTATTTTATTCATATATTTATGTCCTTTAAAAGGTTTTAACTCTTTTAGAAAAAGCGAATTTCTAAAAAGTTCAGGTGCAGTTTTGTACACCATCAGTAAGTGTAGCAATATCAACTGTGACTTTGCATTCCCTCTAAAAGATAAATGGCAAAAGTTTATTTTCACAAGTTTAAAATTAGTAACCATTTACGGAATGTGAACCCTTTGTCCCTGTGATATAACGTCATTTTTTTTATTTAAATGATAAAACAAGAGATAGGTGAAGAGCGAGAGGTACTTTGTCGACACATCTGATTGCTTTACCAATTGCACTGCTATAGATAGTACATAGTGCCAACGACTTTGATACATTCTTTGAGCATATATATTTAGCGCAAGAACAATTGCCCGTTCCATTAATTGGTGTGAATTTATGTTTTTTTGTAGATTGCGAACAGATGTCTTTGGCGGATATTATCACTATTCTAGTAAGTGATGGGTTTTTTTTTTCGGAGGGAGGGGGTTATTTATAAAGAATATTCAAAAGATAGATATTCCATGTTTATATTTGGATCTTTTTATAGGAACAGGATAATATCCGATATTTTCATGAGAGCAAAGCATGAGTGTAATTTTAAAAAAAATCCTTGTATTGAGTAAATTCGTTCCTTATTTACCTACAATACATTGAAATTTCTGATTAATTTTATTTAATTTTCCCTTTATCTCTGACACAACCTAGGTTCTGACATAAGACAAAGTTGAGAGTTTTCAGACGTCTTAGCTAGGCGATTTAGATAGAAATTGTTTTAAATATGGATTTTGCCTACATATTTGGAGAAATCTTCTGGCAGTTTTAGTCTTTGTCAGAGTGGTGGTATATGGAGCGAAAATGTCTCGTACATTTTTTTTGTCAAACATGTATATGAATTGTTAAAAAATTTGAATCATTTCACTGGCAAGTGGTGGCGTCTCAAAATAAGCTCAAATTTTCTCGAAGGCACGTAAAACGAACGAACAAAAAAATTAATGTTCAATGATGTAAAGGAGGTATTGCCGAAATATTGTACGGTGTGTCTTAGTAAAGTAACGTATAAAGGACAGATCGGTGAGTGCTAGAAGAATTCCTAAGTAGAAATACAGACTTAACAAACAATGCTTATTACTTTTCCGCTGAATAAAATCAAAGAGTTGCTGCCACACACCATGAAATGGTGTTGGCACATCATCATAAGTTCAAAAAAAAAAAAAACGGAACATTAGGGGTGGGGATAAATATCTATATTTACTTCTGTTAAATTTTTCTTATAATGATATTCAGCATTGTATAAAGGGCACACATAATCCTATTTGTTTTCCCCTCCCTTGATTTTGCCTAAGTATTCAGACTAATAAAGGCACAAAAAGTCGCATTCCGTTTGCTTTGTTCTGCTTTTTAGCTCATCTGAGCTGAAGTTTTTTTTTTTTTTTAATTTTTCTATACTGATTTTTTATTATTTATACATACAATAGTCAGGAGAGCGATATGAACCATGGGCCTCTTTCTAGTACTTTAATTCGTTTGTTAAATTTTGATCATATAAAATCTAGCTTAAAATAATGATGAACACTTTTAATAGACTGCTAACGCTCAATACATTGGTCATCCTGAAGGTTAATCAATGTGTTCAGATATCATAATTATAAAGAATCCATTCTTTATATCAACAAATATATTTATAGTACGATGTAGTTGATATGTTTACCATTGACCATTCTTTTTGATTTGCCTACCAATGTAAACATCTCTTGCTTTCATCTTCGATTTCTTAAAATTGGGTAGAATAAAAACAAAGACTTTGCGAATAAAGAAGTATATAATAACTAGAGCCGAGCTCGTTGCAAAGCAACGAGTAGGTCTTCCGTCCTGTTTGACCGGAAGTAACTTTCATTTAAAAAAAAGAGTAATGAAGTCCAAAAATGGGTTAATCCTCCAAATCTATGTTAATTATTGCAAAATTAAGCCAATCTTTGGTACTTCCGGTTTGACCTGAAGTGACGACTACGGACGGAAAATTAATATTTAAGCTTCTAGTGACACATGTTACCCAAAAACGGCAAAAATATGCATTTTCTGACTACTTCCGGTTCCCGGAAGTGACGTCGCCGGACGTATTTTGACGACCTCATTAGATAAAGCTTGATATTTTGAACAACTTTGCTTCTTTGATGTATAACAAATTCTCAATACTTTTTGAGATATCTGGAAAAAACTTTTGGCCCCTCTAGATCCCTTAATTTAGGGGTCAGCGCTTTTTTCGACATATCATTTGAAAGATCTTCTAATTCTGCACAAATTATGTTCTATATATTTTAATAAAATATTTTTAATTTAGAAGATAAAAAGAAAAATGTGAGTAATTTTTGGTTCTTTTAAGCGTTCTAATTTTTGACCCCGATGTAGTGCCATTTTGAATAGAGAAATCGAAAAACAAAAACCTATGTGCACAACTTCAATCTTTCTATTATCTAAAATCAGTAGAATTTCTGCTCCAGCTTTAGCCGTCTCTGAGCCTTTGTCTGGAAACGAAAGCCTATAAATTTTCGTTTAAAGGGAAATAACTCAAAACCGGAAGTGGCTTTTTGAAATTTAAGACAGCATTTTGATAGAGTTTATTAACGTCTATAATCTCTGAAAATTTGAGCGAAATCCGTTGAGAAATGAGTGAGATATGAGGCTTCAAAGTTGGCGTCTAGGAAGTAGAAGAAAAAAAAAAGAATAATCCTTACCAACAGAATCAGTAGAAGGTCTTCCGTTGGAAACGGAAGACCTTAATGAATAAAAGATTAAATAGTATATTCTATTTATTTATTCATAAGTCAACTATACAGTTGATGCATTAATTATTAAAAAAAAAGTTTATCCTTGCTTTAAAATATGTGAAACAAATGTTATTAATTTCGTATGTCACATACGTCCTTGTGTATTAAATCAGCCTTATATTTATGCATCCACTTTAAGAAACCTTGATAAATGATTATCTTTTTATAGTATCCCTTAAAGCATAAAATGTTTAATTTTCTTCATGTTTTCTAAAAAAAAATTTTGTTAACATCAAGAATTGTCACTTTGATAAAGTTTTGTTTAAAATATGCACGTTACATTTATTTTGAAAGAGAAAAACTGATGTCGGCATATCTGATCGAGATAGTATAACAAAGAAAGTAAAACTTATTAAAATTGTTATTGCCTGACGTCACGGCGTCAGGCTGTATAAGGATTGATATTTCCAAGATCCGAAAATGTGCGACCATATCTAAAGAGCTAGATTTTGTGCAAGCTGATTTACATTGGAATCCTTTACCTGAATTTTAAAAGAAACAGTTTTCAGAAAAAAGAAAGATATTACTGATGCGAAATACTGCAGTGTTTACTTCCTTTAATCTTTTTGCATGGAACAGATTATTCCATATGATTTGCCGTTTCAACATGTCCGTGTATCCTTTTTTCTGCATTTCTATACTACTGGATCAGTCTATTTATATTCTACGAAAGGGGTGAATCGTTCTTTTCGCGCAAAATGTCACTAGTAAGCTATCTTCGCGCCTTTTCCTTGGATTGTTCTATTGTATGAATGGGTGTGCTAACTTCCATGGAATTAAATAAAGTTTGTCCTTTTAACTTCCTTCTAATGCTTCAGAAATCCTATCTACAAGTTTTATACCATTCTTTAAAACAACATATCGTATTCATCAGTATGCATGGTATATGGACATGTAACACTAAAGAAATGATGTTTCTAATTTGTTTACCGATCCCGCGGTTGGTTTATTCCATAAATGGACGAGTCCAATAATAATAAACAACGCAGTTCAAGCCATCGTCTCCAGATGCATGATCTATATGTCTTTGTTCAGATGCACACGATAAATAAAAAAGTAGTGAATAATCTTGGATATTTCTTTCTACAAAGCCTAACTATTGAATTTACTTATTTCACTCTCAATATATCATTTATTATATGATAGTGTCACCCCCTCCCCTTTTAAGAAAAAAATATAATGAACACACATTACTACTGTTTACTTCAGAGGAGAAAATACACTCCAACAAAATGTGTTTTTAATTATATCCATCTTTTAATATGTTCACAATGCGTGATTTGATAACAGATTTTATAAAAGGTGTTACAATGTAGCTTGAAATCAATTTAGATCCAAGGGCAGATCACTCCACTTGCAGACCCCCCCCCCCCCCTTCAACTACAATGTTCTTTAGTATGCAGTGTAGAGATGATTCTTCAACAAGTTCAGTAAAATCAAGATTTTATTATCATTTTACAAACAGCGTGACAGTTTGCTTGATGGGGCGTGCTAAAATTTTGTGTGCTGGTTATCATTTTACTCATCGATTGGATCAATGAAATCAATACTGATTTACATATGAAACTCGGAATACAACAATACCCCGATAATACTGGCCAATCACATTGAATGATTGTTTACCTGTATGGTATTTATATTCAGCAACAACACGTGGTCAGTCAAAGCCCGTTTTCTGTCCTCAAAAAGCATGTATTATATTTTGTTTTGATTTGACCGGGTGGGTTAAAAATACGTATAAGAATTCAAAGAATGGAATTAGTAAGACTACTCCGCTACTGTTGTACTATGTAGCTATCAATATCAACATTATAGGAAGTAAAACTTGCTTTGTCCGTTCATATGTAATTGTTTATTCAATGCGATTGGTCGGTATTGTTATTGGTATTACTGGGTTCTGTTTTTCATATGCTAAATATTATTGATTCCATTGAAATCAAACATCCAATCGATGAGTAAAATGATAATCAACATACAAAATTTTAGCACGCCCTATCAAGCAAACTGTCACGCTGTTAGTAAAACGATAATAATTACATAAGTTTCTCAAAATATTAAGTTAGGATATTTTTTTAAACCCACAAAGTATTGCTCAAAAGGGTTATCACTCTTCATGCAGATAAATTGATTGATTTAGTCAGGCAAGCTTTTTAAAAAGCTGTTACTTGTGGATTGTTTAAGATTCTGTTGAGTTTAGGTAATGTTCAATTTAAAACATATCCAGAGTAGCTTAGTTGTAAGACTTGTCAGTAGTTTGCCCTGAAAATCTCGCATTAGCGTCACCACTAATGTTATCTAGCCATGCCTTAATTTCATAAACTCTACATTTGTACTTTCTTCCTTATATTCTACAATTAATTTCTTTTTGCCCAGCTAGTCTTACATTTCTATTTAAGAAATTGAAGATTCTTCAACGCTACAACACTTCACGCCGGCATTTTTATCATGAATCGCTAACGCGCTTCATGAAATATGCCGACGTGAAGCATCGTAGTTCATAACCTCATGAATCTTCAAAAAATTAAATTCATTTCTTATATTTACATTATTTTTATGATAACTTTTCATAAATTTACGCCGTTTAATTGTCATTTTTAAAACAAAACAGTGTGCACTATATTTTTGA